TCCAATTCCTACAAATTCCCATATCCACTCAGATCTAATTAATCCAATTCAACGAGCACACACACGCACTCATCCAGTTCATACAGATTCCCAAATCTAGACGGACCCAATTAATGAGATTCAATAGGCACCTCACATTATTATAAAAATGAAAATGAAAAATATAACTATTATGAGCCCCACACAAAAAATAAATTTTCAAATATGGTAGCTTAATGTGATGAATAACGGTCATATTTTTCATTTTAATGAATAAATAATGGAAAACAAACCGGAGCGTGCTAATCCAATTCCTATAAATTCCCACATCCACTCAGACCCAAATGATTAATTAAAATAGGAACCCTACTTCCTCTCACTCACACACACAAAACAACAAAGTACCTTGATAGCATCATCATCCGCTGTGGACATCTTGACATCGACATTGTGGGGATTGATATCTTTGCCTTCGTCGGGTATTTCTCCTCTGTACACCTCGTGCTCCTCCTTCTCCATCTCCGTCTTCTTCTTTTTCTAGAAAGTTGACTCTAGTTTTTATTTTTTTTTGTTTTGATTTTTAATTATATATTTGTGATTAATTTGTAATTTTTTGAAAATTTGGGACTCTTATTGCAATTAATTTTTATCTTTTTTTTTTTGTTTAATTTGAATAAGAGGGTAAAATTGCCTTTTATTAAAAAATGGATGAAATTGACATTTTGCGCAATGAAATGTGAAAATAAGGGTAAAAATATCAAAAAATGAAAGGTAGAAATGTTTTGCACATTGACATTGAAAAGTATGAATGTTTGTGCAATTTACCCTGATAGAAAACATCATACAACTCATCTTGACAAAACGGACCTTTTAAGACAAAGATCAAACTTAATAACATGATATCCAAGCTTTGATCTTAAGGTGATTGTACAATAGCAAAATTAAATTTTAGGTCATTTTCAGCACTGCATCGAAATTTGCACCATTTTTGCTCCAAATTAAAAACTAGAATCATGCTACATGAACATCTTGCCTTACATTAAGTTTTCCATTCTTCTGCATGGCACCATCATAACCTTTGATTTTCCTAACACCCTTTCACATCATTGTCCAGATTGTGCCACATAGTAGATAATGTCATGGATGATGTACACAAGAATGTATATTAAGCAATTTTCAACTAAAAATCATCTACAATTCATTATACCGAAAGTTGCACAAAATGAACAATGTTTAATCATTTTTTTATTTTTTATTCTTAACAATTTATATAGCTGAAAAATTATTTATATATTTAATTTACTACTACATAAATAATTACGTTTCGTTTACTAAAATATTAATTTCGTTAATAAATTTTGAAAATGTAGTGTAATTAATAAAAATACCACAATTAAAAAATATATTAAATCATGTCATTAAGCGCTTGTTTGATGTCCTTTAATTTACACAAATTTATTTTTGGCAACAATAAATAGGGCCTGCATCTGCCTTGATGAATTCATTTTAGACCAAAAGAATTGTTTTTAATGGTATGATATGTACCTTCCAATCTTATCCCCTATCGTAAGGAATTTTCAATGACAAACTAAGGACAATCAGGGAAATGAATATATTAAACGGGTGGATATTTGACTTTTGTTCAACCCTATCAATTGATTTTTCAAATGTTAATTAATGATTTTACTATGTTAAAAAATTTACCATGTAAAAGAAGGGTTTTTCAATGGCGTCAAACACGGGCTAAAACACAACATAGTATATTTCGAATCCCGATATTATAATACGACAAAGGTGACCTAGTGTCGTAAATAATCATTTTTGTTGCATTTTAAAACTTTTCAAGTACTTTATTTTAATTCGTTCCTCGATTATTATTGATTACAGGATTAAAGTTTATTACAAATAATAATAATTTATGTATAATGTAAAATGATACAAATACCTTTGATGTCATTTGGTGCCAAATGAAAAAGGGTAAAAAGAACTTTTATCCAATTTGGTACAAAATTTGGTGTTGGATTGGAGTGAAATTGCACCAAATATTTGGTGAAAATGGAGGAAAATGGTGTTTTAGCGTTGTGGTTGAAGACGGCCTTAATAAATTTTGATAAAAACTAATGAAATTTATGGTTAAAATATTGATAAAATTTGTGAATACTATAAAATATGTTAATAAAAATGAATTTAGAAAAAAGTAAGGCAAAATATGGACCCTATATAATCAAAACTGGATTTCAGTTCATATATAGATTTGAGAAAATTACATGTAATACGCATTTTAAAATAATAATTCACAAAATATATTACAACTTTTTTACACCAACATTTTACAAAGTAAAAATGAAAAACTATAAAAAACCATATATCAATTGATTTTGTTGACAGCTTCTATTACTCCAGCGAACAAGCCGCAATTTAATTTATTTAATTAATATTCAAACTGGACTTTCTACTTGCTCCTATATTCCGATGAAGAGTTCCAACTTTCACAGCTTTATCGATTATGAAACATGCCTCTGCAATCAGCATCTGAATGGCAAGTTGTGCCTCAGGCTTCTTTCCAAGAACATCAAGCGCTTCTAGATCCTAATAATGCAGTAAAAGAATTTACATAGCAAATAACACCCGAATCCAACAATTTATGATTCAAGACCATGGAAATTAACAACTGAAGTTGAAAATAGGGAGTATAACCCATACATAATACAAATAATCAGGAGCGGACCCAGACAGTTCGAACTGTTGGGTCAAAAAAGAAATTTTTTTCGAACAACGTATCATGAACAAAAAGGAGAAATCGGTTGTTTGCTGTTCCTGTTCGGTGTTCGTACTTTGGGAAGAAATCGGTGGATTATATGATATATTTATGGACTAAATAATGGATATGAACCATGTGATATGGATATAGATTTAGGATTTGAATTTTTTGGGAGCAGAAAATTAAGTTTTCAGCTATAAAAAAAAAAATTCCAAAAAACTGTAAGGTCATTTGACCCCGCATGACCCCATGTGGGTCCACCCCTACAAATAATGACACATCACATATTCGACAAGATTATATTACCATCATATGCCACCTCAGTATCACTATGTAAGAAGATGAAATGCAACACAAATTTTTGAACTGTCTTCATACATTGCAGACACGGATACATACAATATTATGATGTATGTTGATTATCAAAAATTCCCATCTCCACAACCATATTGTAGGAAGAAGGCAATATGCAATGCACAGAATTCCCTTTTTTTTTTCTTTT